TTTGTGTCTGCTCAACATTATGCTTGATTAATAGTCTACTTTTAACTTCAGTAGTTGTTTAAAAATATGTACGTTCCATTCTCATTAAACCAGATTCCCAGGTTTTATTTTGTTTAGTTTGGATTTTTTTCCAGCTCAAATTCCACTTGCATCAAAGGAAATTAACACCTCAATGTTCAATGTATACTCAGTTCTAGTTTCTAGGCCTTTTTTTCAGATCAAGTCCCCAATTCCTAATAAAGGGGGAAATTCTGCAAGTAAAAGGAGAAAATGTTTTATTTCACCTAAGATTTCATAAACCACAAACTTAAAATTCTTTGTCTACTATATAAAATTTATCTTCATGAAAAATAACAAACTTTTTCGTAAAGGTAGAAGGAACACAGATGTAACAAACTTGAAAATCCTGAATCTTGATTTTTTTCCCCCCTTCTCATGTATGATGAAGATTTCTGTTCTTCTAGGAATATATCTAGGGTAAATGGGAAAGTCAAACAGATGTAGCAGTGGATATGACAAAATACAAGAAATACAGAACCAACTTAACAGGCATTTTTTTAAGAACATGTTTCCTTATCAAAATAGCAAGCAAACTGACATGCCATAATGAAAAGGTATCTCTCAATAATTTGAATTTAATTTTTTTACTGTTTTACCTGATCAGGAATAAAAAAAACCCATAGTATCTAACTGAAAATAGTGAATACACTATTAGTAAGAATGTAAATGGGTACAGCTACTCACTATGGAAAATAGTTTCGAGGTTCCTCAAAAAACTAAAAACAGAACCACCATACAATCCAGCAATTCCACTTCTGGGTATTTAGCTGAAGGAATGACTATCTAGAAGAGATATCCACACCCTTATGTTCACTGCAGTATTATTCACAACCTAAGATGAATAGATACAGAAAACATGGTATATAGATACATATTATCCGGCCATAAAAAAGGGGCGGGGGAGAGGGGGATCCTGACAACTGGATGAACCCTGAAGGCATCACACTAAGTCAAACAGACAAAAAAAGACAAATACTGCACAGTGTCACTTATATGACACCTAACTCACTGAAACAGAGAAGAGATTAGTGGTTGCCACGGGGAGGGGGTGGGTGGTGGAGGGGAATGGAGGGCATGGGTGGAGGTGGTCAAAGGATACAAACCTCCACTTATAAGATGAAAAAGTTCTGGGGATATTAAGTACACCACGGTGACTACAGTTAACAATACTGCATTGTATGTCTGAAAGTTGTTAAGAGAGTAAATTCTAAAAGTTCTACACACACACACACACACACACACACACTAGTACCTATGGGTGGTGATGGATGTGTTAACTAGCCTTATTTGTTGCGGTAATCATTTTGCAATATATACATATTTAAAATCACTACATTGTACATCTTGAAAAACATTAGATGTCAATTATATCTCAGTAAAGCTGGGGGGGTGGTGGGAGAGAGAGAAAATAGTGGAAAGAAATTAATATGCCGGGTGCCTGGGTGGCTCAGTCGTTAAGCATCTGCCTTCGGCTCAGGTCATGATCCCAGAGTCCTGGGATGGAGTCCCACATCGGGCTCCCTGCTCTGCGGGAAGCCTGCTTCTCCCTGTCCCACTCCCCCTGCTTGTGTTCCTGCTCTCGCTGTGTCTCTCTCTGTCAAAATAATAAATAAAATCTTAAAAAAAAAAAGAAATTAATATGCCACCCACAGCAAACTTTAGAAATCAATATCCTATGCTAAAGAAGCCCATAAGGGAAATCTGGCTGCACACAGCTGTGTAATAAATCAATTTGTTACCGTGACAGTCATCTCAAAAGTAGAGTAACAGTTGAGAGATAACAAAGAAGTTAGATTAGACATGGGGGCATATATAATAGAGTCCCACAAGGTTTTTGTTTTGATTTTTATAACAAGTCTGTTAAATCATTCATTGGCAAATAAATGATTCAAGATAGACTTCCATATTCTAACTTATTCCATTATTCATCCATCCATTCCATTATTCTAACTTTGACATCATTAATCAGTCAATAAATGTTTGAAAAGTTTTCAAAAATTTATTTATTCAACAAATATTTAAAAATACACACTACATGTACATTACTGTCATAGGTGCCAGCAATTCAATGATAAGCAAAAAACAGACTTTCTGCCTTTATGGAGGAGAGAGACAGATATTAATCCTGAAATGAGAAATTAAAAGAAAATTATTAGTTGTAAGTTCTACAAGAAAAGATACGTAATGCTACGACAGTGTTTATTAAGGAAATCTGTGTAACCTGGGAGAGGAAAGGCAGTAACACTGAAAGGGGAAGACTGAAAAAAGGACAGGAATTAAGTAAGTCTGTCTGTGTGTATATGGGGGAGGGGTTCACTAGCCTGAGGCAACAGCAAGTTGCAAGTGCAAATGGCCTGAGGCAGGAGGTAACAGGGGCAAAAAGTAACTGCAAGTCCATCATGCTGAGCTCCTGAGGACAAAATAAAAAATAACTCCAGAGATGAGGAGCAGGGGCAAAAAAGAGCTAGTTGTGACCATGCACGAGAGTAAACTTTAGCTAGTGACAAATTGTAAATAATATCCATTTTCTCAATAAAATCTCATTCTTCTCAGACCAAATAATCTGAAGAACACTGAGAGGTCAAGGTCAGTCCCCTTACCAAAGAGTCACACATCCACTGGACCTGGCAATGTGCAAACCCCAGGCCACAACACTGTCACCCACCCGAGTACAAGGGGCACCTCACACAAAGTGGTTATGCTCTGAGTGTCACAGAAAACTTTCACATCACTTTTGGTTTTCATAGATTCTTTACAACATATTTAGCTTCAGGAGAGAGCATATCTTTTTCATATTTCACAAAGGTCCTCAGATTTACGAAACAATGCCTGCCTTCATAAATTACTCAGTTCAACTCCAAAACACTTCAAGAACTCACTGTAAGTAAGCCCTGAGTGACGCCCCTTCACATACTCTTCCACACATCAAGCAGAGGAAGGGCTTCTACTATCCACTAGAAGGTGCAAGATCAATGTGCAATGGCTCCCAAACCCGTTCCCTCAAAACTGGTTTCTCTTAGGGAGATAACCAGCAGAAACAGGGCACCACAATCCCATAAATGGGGAAAAGAGCAGATTTGGTGGGTTTTTTTTTTTTAACGTTATAAAGGTTACCTGAAGAGCAGCACTTCTCAGGGTCATTAACTATGAATCTCTTATGACAGGGACAGTATGTACAGCACTTCCCACACGTGTTTGACTACAAATATTTGAAGAAAGTATCGCCACTGACACAGGAGTAACATTCCCTTGAGAAGGGCGGGCATTCGGTACTGCACAAGGCAGTAGGCCTTTTGACGATGATCCAGACGATCACATTACCAAACTGAATTGTTATGTATCATGAGAAAAGGATAACAAGTAAGATCTTTCCTTATTTTTAAGTTATGATACTATATAATCTCTATCTAAAGAAGTTAACACATTCTGTTCCTTTCCCACGATTTAGAACTGAATAGGTCGATAGCATGTAACGTGTGGTAACTCTGTAATGAGATATTCTTCAGTGGCTCAGATACTCTTACTGTCCAATATCTAAGTCTTTTAAATCTTAGACACTGACGATATTGTGACCCACACATTACTAGATCTCTACCGCAGAGCTCTAACTTGCCTAAAACCTAACGCTATACTTTTATGTCACGTATCTCCTCAGTTAATCATCAATAAATTGTAGCTGTGACTACAAGTTTATCTATGTAAGTCCTAATACTGTTTATCTTTTGAAATTCAAAAGCAAACAGGGGAAAAAAAACTCTGGTACTTTACACAAAGTTCAGAAAAGTTACAGTACTCCTCAGTAAAACAATTGTACAGGTTAACGATGTAATGTAATTTCTCTAACCTCCCTTTCCTGGAAGAACACCAAACTGGGAGGCTTTTAATCTCTTAATTACACCTCATGAAATTCATGTCACTTCTCAGCATTATAAGTAATTCAAACAAAACGACTTTAGCTAGTTTTACTGACTTCCTGAAGAAAAATACCTTAACACACACAACACATGACATGAAAAAAGAAAAGTTCTGTGGGGTGCCTGGGTGGCTCAGTTGGTTGAGCCTCTGACTTGTGATTTCAGTTGGGGTCACGATCTCACAGGTCGTGGGATACAGCCCCAACTCCGGCTCAGTGGGGAGTCTGCTTGGGATTCTCTCTCTCCCTCTCTCTGCCCCTCCCCCCACTAGTGTGCATACATTCTCTCCCTCCCTCTCCCTCTCTCTCAAATAAATAAATAAATCTTTAAGGGGGGGGCAGTTTTGCGGGTGCCCGGTAGGGTCTCAATCACTGGTTTCCCTGCATCTCATCTGAAGGCTGGGTCTGTCTCTCTCTGAACAATGCTATAAACCTCAATACACTGAGTAAACTATAGTACATTTTCTGGAAAACAAAGCAAGTTAGTTGTCTTCAGCAACTTCTATTATCACTGGTTAGAGATTCTGAAGCTTGACTCATTGGGAAAGGAGGTTATCAGGAGAAATAAACTTTGGTCTAAAGGCCTTTAAAGATACTTCTTCAGCTTCTGCTCACTCTGCAGTAATGTGAAACATCCCGCTTCTAAGAATCTTTACTAAGGTTTACTTATCCTACCACGTATTCTATTCTGCAGGGTCACCACCGCCTAATTGTGTTGAAGATAAAGAGCAAGGAGGAAATCAAAAAATGAAATCTACTGAGGAGATGGTGAAGTGAGAGAAATAGCACAAGGACACAAGGAAAGAAATTGACAAATGCACAAGGACAGAAGACCAAGTTGAGGTAGACACAAGCAAGAAGCCAGTGAATCCAACTGCCCCGAAGTGGGTCAATATGTTTCCTACCTTGATTTTTTTCTACCCAAAACTACTGTATCTCCTTTTCTGGGTCCCCTGCCTTCCCTAACGTGTAAAGAGGCCTGTAAATGCTGATGTCATTTCTCCACCACAAACACTGTGCTCCTTACCTCCTGGTCTGTAGACAACATCATCCTCAGTGATGTAAGAGGTTATCTCGCCGGTGTCTGTCCTTTCATAACGAGATTTTTTTTTCGGTGGTTTCTTTTTGTTCTTCTTCGTGGACTCCTCTGTGGTGGCACTATTGTTGTCATTATCCTCATCTTCGCTGTGGTCACTCTCAGCATAATTTTTGGCTCCTCCTTCCAAGGTGCAGCTCCTACGTGGTCTTGAATTCTCACCCTCTCTTGCTTTGTCTCGTTTATCTCTCTCTCGGTCCCGATCTCGGTCCCGGTCCTTCTCTTTGTCTTTGTCTTTGTCCGCTGTCATGATTCGCCACGTGCCTTCTTCTGTCCTCTCACGGCTAGGCCTCCGTGAAAGGTAGACAGTAAGCCTGGGCTTCAGTCTTCTGAATTTCTCACTCAATTCCAGGGAAAATCCAACCACTCCAACTACCCCAACGTTTCAAAAACGCTAAGCAAGAAAAGAGAGAAAGAGAAATTGATTTTACTTTAACATTTTCTCATATTTCCTTCCTAAAATAATGTTTTGTTAAATGAATATCTTACTTACTCATGTTTTAGCCCCAAAAACCTGCCGAACCATTGGAAAAAAGGACAAGTGATACAAAGTTTAAGTATATAAAGTTTTTGGCCTCAGCTAGCATATGGTTTGGGATTTAATACCACATCAATAATGAAAACATCTCAATGCATAATAGTAAACAATACTTTCTGTACATCACTTATTTTCTTTTTTTGAAGGAAAAAGTAAAGTGTACCCTAATACACAACATAAAAGGAGCTTCATAACCCACAACTTTAATTTACAAGGGCAAGAGCCTATATACTAAAACTATTTCCACCTGGGGGAAAAAAAATAATTTGGATAGCCTGGAAAAATGTCTCAAGATGTCTCTCACAGGGAACTATCTTCTAAGACTCTTTCTAGCCACATCTCCAAATTTCCAGAGCTCCTCTCAAGAATAAACACAGGCATTGACTCAAATAAAAGTGATGACCCTCAAAACAAGATTCTTTTGCCTTCAATCACAATTTTTCCCATCTTCAAAGTCTACTACTGTAGTTATTTTCCAGGAAAAATGGTATCTCTGAATTATCTCTGCCTTAACAAAACCAAACAGCTTCCAAAAACAACCTTCCATCTTTAGAGAATAGTAGGTGGTTTTCACATTCTTTCAAATTTCCACTATAAATAATTTCCCTAGTAAACTCCTCTCTAGAACTAAGCCCAACAAGGAAAGACTGAAGTTTTTAAGACTTTACAATGAGAAGAGAGAATCTCCAATTCCAATCCAACACAATTCTTATAAAAAATTTTATAGTGCAGTGGGAGGACGATGACAGACAGACATGGACTGTTTTGTTTACAAGTCAGTTTTGGGACAGTCATAATTACCAGTAATTTATCTTTTGCCGTCCTGTATCATCTTCCTCAACATCTTCTCTCATTTGTTCAACGATCTATACTAAACACTATCTAGGTGCCAGGTCTTCGGAACTGAAGATACAATGAGGGAAAAGCTCAAGAGTCCTTGACCTCAATGCTCTAATGCAAAAAAAAAAAAAAAAAAAAGGCAAACAACTGATCAATATGAGAACCATCTGTTTCTTATGTTACTAGGGCCAGACAGAAAATGACATATGCAAATAAACAAAAGATTGGTCCTCTTTACTTAGACAACAACAAACAAATAACTTGCAAATACATGTCTTAAACACAGAGAAAATTCTATTCGGTCACGCCAAAACCATAAAAATTATCATATACTCACTCCAAAGCTCTTAGGTCAAATCTGGCACCAGAAAACACCTCTCCACAAGCACCTCAAATATCCTTACCTGTTCAAGAAAATATAAAATAATCACAACCACCTTTGGGAGACAGACCTATGAAGGAGCAATAATGCTGACAATTTAAAACAAAGTCCGAAGGGAGAAAGCATGTAGTACAGCCATGTACTACAGACATTTCCTTCTACATAGGAAATATGCTTCTAGGTAGGATTTCAATTTTCTAAACATATTTCAAGAAAACGAAAAATTATCCCAGTGCCTGCAAAAGTTCTGCCTAGATGAATCATCTGCTAAACAGACAGTAATAAACTCCCAAGTCCCTGTAGGCCACTAGTGTTAGCAATTGAAAATACACAAAGAGACATATTACTTTCTCCACTGGGCTTAAGTTTAAAGCATGAACAAGCCAATCATGCAAGAAAGAAAACTATCAGCTAACACCATTGTTAAAACATTCCTCTTTGACACTGAAAACATACCAAGGTCCACTGGGAATCTAAAAAGAACAAGCAGCTTAGGCTGAAAACCTCTCAGATATAGCTCAAGGACAGACAACTTACGAATTTAGGAAAAAGATCATTCTCTCCAGGGTTAACAAGATAACCAGAAAATTATGTAAAAATATTATTTCAGCACTCAAAAAGGAAAGAAATACTAAGTCCAAATTGTACATTCAACACTACTCCTTACAAAATCATATACGGAGCTTCTTTTTACAAAGAAATTTGAGTTATTTCTGCCAAGAGTAAGCAAGAAAGAAAAATTCAAGAAACAACAGACACAAAATAAAATTCCGTGTGTGTATCCAACTTTCAGTTAACTAAAACAGTGATAATCCAAAGCAAAAGTCAACCAATTACCATTTACATTTGGCTCTAAAATACAGTGCAACAGGGATGTATGTTTCTTTTCCTCTGCATTTACCATACTAATCAGAATTTTTCTGATCCTCATTATACAATGACCAACACACAATAATAATGTGACATTTGAGGAAAGGGACCCAGAGAGAAACCAGATGGCAATGACAAGGGTAGTTGTCACTTCAATTTGCTAGAAATGATCTACCAATACAACAACATCATTTTTGTTAACAATAAGGGGTTTACAAAGCAGGTTCCTGCCATGATCTCATTCAGTTCTTTCTCTAACAGCTCAGTCAAGTGAACCAGACAGAAGTCACCGTCCCCACTTATAGACTACAGAAGGGAAACCATGAAGAAACCATGTGCATGAAGCCATACAGCCAATTATTCTGCCAAAGTAAACCCCATCTGACCTGACTGCAACCTACTACTCAGGTCATAATCTGTGCCCCCAAGGTCACCAGCTCTTCATAGGTACTAACTTTTCCTGCACGCATCCAGGCTGATAATTTGCACAGACAGATTTAGGAAACACACTCACTTTGCCCTTCCCTTCCCCAAAAGAAATTTCTGTCCAGTAACAAAGACAAAAATATTGAGGGTATTTCTGTCAATTCACTGCTTAACCCAGTTAAACAAAAACCAGTATAAGATACTTTATTTTTCTAAGATTTTATTTATTTGAGAGAGAATGAGAGCGAGCGCACACGTGCACACACACAAGTGTGAACGGGGGGGGGGCGGTGGGAAGGGCAGAGGGAGAGGGAGAGAGAATCCCAAGCAGACTCCCCACTGAGCTCAGAGCCCCATGTGGGGCTCGATCCCACGACCCCGAGGATCATGAGTTGGACGCCGAAATCAAGAGTTGGGACACTTAAATGACTGAGCCACCCAGGCACCCCTATAAGATACTTTAATAACAAAAAAAAAGAGAGAAAATCTAGTCTAGAACACGTTCAGATTCACAACAGTCTTCATCTGTTCACTGAACAAATGTCTACCAAATGCCTACTGTGCACTAGTTACTGCTCTAGGTGTGAGGGAAGCAGCAGAAAACCGCACAAAAACTTCTCTGCTCTGGTGGAGCTGATGTTCCAGGGAGTGGAAAAATACCATAATCAAAAGAATGATATGTATATAGTACATGAAAAGATCTTAAATGGGGAATCCAATGCGGGGGACACAGAGTGTGGGAGAATTGTAATCTTAACTGATGGTGAAGGAAGGCCTCAGGCTTTGCCCCAAGCAAGAGCGTTAGAGAAAAAGCCATGAGGGCACATGAAGGGAGATCATTCCAGCAGAGGGAAAGGAGGTACAAATGTCCAGAGGCAGAAATGAGCTGAGCACACTCAAGACACAGGAGGCCAGTGGCGCTGCAGTGGCATGAGGAAGAGGGAAAGTGGTGGGAGATGAGTTCAGAGAGGTGAAGGGGGAGGGGGGGCTGGATCCTGCCTTGTATGCCAGTGTAAGGACTCTGGAGCCTTTACTCAAGTGCCACGAAGTGACATGAAGTGATTCGAATGACATTTCAGCCACTGCAGGGATCTGAGTAACAAAGACATGATCTGACTTGTGTTTAAGATCACTCTGGTCATTGAGAAAAAACCTAAAGGGATGCAGGGGTTGCAGCATGAAACCGGTGAGGGAGGAGGCTTACTGCAACAAGCCAGGTAAAAGGTGAAGGTAGTTGGGATGACCCAGCATGGCAGGGGCAGAGAAAGGGAGGAGTCTTATTTTCTATGTATTTTTAAGGTAAGTCTCAAACTGGATGTGCTGACAAACTGGGAGGTAAGGTGTGAGGGAAGAAGTCAGGAACAACTCCAAGGGTTCTAGCATGAGGAGCTGGACGATGAAATGGGCATTATATGAGTTTTGGAAGAAAGATTAAGAGCTCAGGTACGAACATGCTAAGTTTGAGAAGCCTTTTAAAAACCACATAAAGAGGGGTGTCTGGGTGGCTCAGTCAGTTAAGCGACTGCCTTCGGCTCGGGTCATGGTCCCGGGGTCCTGGGATCGAGCCCCGCATCCGGCTCCCTGCTCAGTGGGAGGCCCGCTTCTCTCTCTCCCACTCCCCCTGCTTGTGTTCCCTCTCTCGCTGTCTCTGTCAAATAAATAAATAAAATCTTTAAAAAAAAAAAAAAAACACATACACATAAAGATTTTCAGTAGGCAGAGGTCCAGGCTGGAGATAAAAATTTACTTTTTAATTTAGTTTTTAAAGGCATGAATTGAATGAAGTCACCAAGGAAGTGAATTTGCATGGTTTTTCCGATAAAAATTTTTTAAACCCACAAAAACCTTTATTACTCATGCTTGAGTGGAGAGGGATATTCAAAACAGACCTACAACTTATACATTTCCAAAAGCAGCACCCCTAGGACTCATAAAAAAACATATATTCCTCTCACTAGTTTCCACATTTATCAGGTTGCACTTCATCATTTTATCTTAACTGGTAAAATCTGGTCAGCTAGCCTCGCTGTGTTCTCATCTAATCAGAGTCAAAGGCCTTCAAGAGTCAGTGATACAGAACTACTCTTTATTAACTTCAGCTACTTCACCCTCCGCACAAACCTCGTTTGCCTCTTCAAAGTGAAGCCAACAACCACCCACAAACCCCTCAACACCACTTATCAGAACCCATTCAAATAAAGTGCTAAAATTTCTGTCATGCTCCGGGCCCAAACCTCACTTTAAGAAAACTACTTCCTTACACTATTTAAGCAGTCCCAGGAGGTCAGGCCCATGTCAGAACTGGACTCAAAAGCCAAGACCAAGTTCTTGGCACTGCTATGTACTGAACTGCCTTGGGCAAATCACTCTACCTCTCTGAATCCATTTCACTGCCCTAAAAGAGGGACAATCACCAGCTACTTCACAGAGCTGCTATGAGAATTAAGTTAATTAAGCATACCATATGCATACACACTCACAGATTGTGAGGTGCTTTCCAGATGTAAACTCTCACTAGTAGATAATACCCAATAGTATATTGTGCTGTGCAAGATATAAATGTTGCCAAACATCATCCCTACCCTCAAGAACTTAGTATCTCTTGTGGCACGGGTTGGGAGGGGGAATTCTATTGTACAACTGAGAACTAAATTGTGTAAAATGGACTGCAAATGACAAAAATCCAAAAAGATCCTCTCTGGGATCATGTAAAACTTACTGGTCCATGAAAAGCTGCCATTCCCTCCTGAGTTCTCACTCCCTGACTGCTAACAATCTCAGTTACTCAAGCCAAATTCTGTAGGACACTTGACTCACCAAATGCAGCTAGTGAAGTACAATTAATTCTTCCTCATTCAACCAGATCAAGAAATATGTTTGTCAGATGCCCAACCACACATCAGGCATTTTGCTCAGCTCTTAGGGTCTACCAATCACATCCTGAGTATCTCTATAATTTTATCCATTGCTCCCGCTGATTCAGTAACAAGGCATCATCATCTTTCACACAGATTAACACAACTGCCTAACTGATCTCTGTGACTAAAATTTTGTTTTTGCCTTCCTTCCAATTCATCCTGCAATGAAGCCAGCCAGCATGTCTGACACTGCACCACTTTTTTTAAACAGCTTTAAAGAAATACAATTCACACCCCCACACAACCCAGTCTTTAAAGTACAATTCACTGTCCGCCATTCCTTTCCAAGACAGACCTCGTGTCCTGACTGCCCCTTTGCTTCTCCATCTCCATCTCTCCTGTGTGCTCCAGCCACCTCAAAGCACTTCCTTCCATCTCAGGAACCCATGTGCTTAGAATACTCATCCCCTCCCCTTGGTCTGACTAACCTGTGCTCACCTTCAGGGCTTCGGGCATTTCTGCTGCCTAACTCCAGGAAGGCTCCCATTGTTCCCCATTCTGCCTGTAAAAGGGCCCTTGCTGATCCCACTACCATCATCCATTGCTAACCTGTGTTCATTCTCCACTAACTGACAAGGACCATGGCTATCCTATCATGTTTACTGAAACAACTTCCATTAAAGCAATTTCCTCTCTGTATCAAATCCACTGGAGAGTGTCAACTTCATTATCATTTGACCATTCAGCATCCTAGGGCTGAACACATACCCTCCTTCTGGAAAGGCTGCTTGCCTTTGGCTGACCTGGCATGGGCCTATCTACCTGATCCCCCACCCCCAGTACCCCGCCAGCCAGAGCAGGAGTTCTA